CCAGACAACTAAAGGGGCAGTGACTAGACTATAGGCTAATAATAATGTACATTAGCCTAATGTACATTAGGTTAGTGGCACAGATTCAGATTGCTAGACCCCCAAAAATGTCTCATTTTCCCCATTACAAACATAGAGGAGGAAAGAAATTGCCTAGAAAGATACTGACTCATCTTCCTCCAAGGGATAAGGGCAAGAGCCAAGAAGCCTACAAACATGGCAAAGACCTCTGAGGCTTTATAGAAACCAGATGAGAGTCTGGCTGACTTCTATGAGAGACTCTGTAAAGCCTATAGGGTCTACACTCTGTTCAACCCAGAGGACCCTGAAAACCAATGCATGGTCAATGCTGCCTTTGTAGGACAGCCTCAAACCGACATTTGACAAAAGCTCCAGAAATTAGAGAGATATGCTGGAAAGAATGCCACTGAATTACGGGAAATTGCCCACAAGGTCTTTGTAAACTGTGACTGTGCTGCCAGGAAGGAGGCAGACCAAAAGATGAAGCAGAAAGTGGCTTTCCTAGCTGTAGCTTTGGGGAACCCAGCCCCACCAAGGACAAAAAACACAACAGAAACAGCGAAGAAATAAAGAACCATAAAGGAAAGTGCCCCTGAGACAAGACTAATGTGCCTACCATAAGGAATCCGGACCCTGGACGAATGAGTGCCCCAACCATCAAAAAAGAAAACCAGGAACTTCTGCTCTACCCAGCCTCTACCAGCCAGAACCACCAGAGGCCAATCTGATTGGGCTGGCAGGAGTGGACTCTAATGGGCCCCCATGAGCCCATAGTCAAAATGAAGGTTGGGAGTCAAACAATAAATGTTATGGTGGACACAGGGGCTGAACACTCTGTAGTGAAGCAAAGGGTAGCACCCCTATCACGACAGAAAGTAAGGGTTACTGGGACCACAACCCATAGACCATTCTGTGGCCCTTGACAATGCTGGCTTGGGGGCCACCAGGTGATTCATGAGTTCCTGTATAAACCACTGCAAAATCCTGACCCCATTCTGTACATGGATGGCAGTAGTTTCATGAGTGAGGGCAAAAGGTATGCTGGGTATGCAATAGCTTCAGATTCTGAAACTTTGGAAGCAAAAGCCCTTCCTGAGGGATGGCCTGCCCAAAGAGCAGAACTGTGGGCCCTAGTGAGGGCATTAGAACTTAGCAAGGATAAGCAGGTCAACATATATACTGACTCACGCTACGCCTTCACCACCCTACTTATACATAAAACTATATACAAGGAAAGAGGACTCCTGACAGCTGCAGGGAAAGGAATCAAAAACCAAATGAAATCCTGAAACTGTTAGAGGTAGTCTAGGAACCAAAGGAAGTAGCAGTCATCCACTGCAAGGGCCACCAAAAAGGAAAAGACTCAGTGTCAGAGGGGAACTTTCAGGCAGACGCTGCAGCTAAACAAACTGCAAGAGAACAAGAAACACCATCCAAAATCATGCTGGCCCCAGAAGTACCTACACCCCCAAAATATACAGCTCAGGAAGAGGAAGGCACAGCAAGAGGGAGAAAATGTGACCAAGGAAGGATGGTCGGTACTCCCAGGCCACAGAATCTATGTGCCAGAACAAATAGCCCACTGGGTGGTCCTCCAGCAGCATGAACTCACACACCTGGGAAAAACCGTTCTAGAAGCCTTACTGAGCCGGTACTACCTGGTTGCTCGACTTCCTCCCCTCTGTGCCTCAATCTCCCAACGCTGCCTTCTCTGTGCTCAAAATAATGCCAGACAAGGCCCCATTGGGCCAGCCAGAATCCAGCGCTGTGGCCATGCACCCTTTAAAGATCTAGAGGTAGACTTCACTAAAATGGGACCCAGCAGGGGAAACAAATATCTCCTGGTTTTTTGTCTGTACTTTTTTGGGCTGGGTTGGGGCTTACCCCACACATACGGGCGGGAAAAAGCAAAAAAAAGTAACCAAAGCTCTACTAAGGAACATCATTCTGAAATATAGGATGCCATTGACTAATGGCCCAGTCTTCGTGGCAGAAGTGGTGCAGCAGGTTGCTAAGACTCTGGGCATCCAATGGAATTTACACGGCCTACTGGCTGCAAAGGAAAGTAGAAAGCATGAATTGGATACTTAGCAGGCTATGACAAAGCTATGTCAGGAAACTAACCTGCCTTGGACTGACATACTGCCTCTGGCTCTTCTGCGGGTATGTTGTACCCCGCGGGCAAAGATAGGGTTCTCCCCTTTTGAAATCCTATATAGGAGACCTCCCCCACTAACTAACTCAAGGGAGACATAAAATAACTAGGAAATTTAGAAATTCAGAAACAATTGCAAGGACTAGGAAAAACCGTCCTTAAGGTACATAGATGGGTAACTCATAGAATGCCCATTTCCCTGGGGATAACTGTACACCCCCACAGACCAGGGGATCAAGTCTGGGTAAAATACTGGAAGAGAGAACCCCTCAGAGCAACCTGGAAAGGGCCCTATTTACTCATACAGCCCTTAGAGTTGCAGGTCTGAACACCTGGATCCACCACTCCCGCGTGAAGGCAGCCAACCAAGGATGGCCAATCTGAAGGAAAACAAACAAACAAACAAAAAAACCAACCAGAACAATCCTCTGCAAATCACCCTAAAGAAGTCAGTAAAACCTACTTATCAGTCTACACAAAAGCCTGAGGACTCCATCAGTAGACCCGATAGTCACTACCTGCTGGACTGGTCTGGGCCCTGGAGCCTGTATCCTTACTTATATTTCTCTGTTAGCAATATGGACAGTTTTTCTACTCACCCTTCTTGTTTATTGTTTCCCCAACCAAAATAAGACTATCTCTTTCACTGTCACTAATCTTTGTCACTGAGACCTCTGGCTTCCCCCAATGTTCCTGCCAGGAACTTGTCTATACAGGGCTTAGGAGCCCCTGGTGAACTAACCTCCCTACCCCCACCCAATGGACTCTATAGAGCATATCTCAGAAAGCTAAATACTCCAAGCCAGAACTTTGTCAGCTACACTTCTAAGGTTAATGATGTTCTCTAAGTCTACTAAAGGCAGCTTAAGAATCCAAAGGGGGGAAATGAGATGGCAAGCCCCCTCCCTGCTTGCATCACCGTAACCATGCCCCTGGCTTCTGTAATCTTGCTGGCTTCTAGGCCTAGTGACAGTGAGAAGCAGGTGAGGAGGAGGGCTAAATGCGTGTGCACGTGGCACTCTCTGGCCCTGGTCAGGGGACTTCACCTTTGGTGCAGATAAGGAGCCGAGACCTCCCCCTGTAGCTAGGCAACAGGCCTTCGGCTAGATGCTACTTGGAAGTCATCTCTGTCAGGGACAGGTGGCAAAAGCAGCTCTGGAGGTCTGAACCCCAGAGGGTCAGGGCGGGGCCCTGCTCAGCTCCAGGCTGCCCCTGGCCACATCCTCTCTGGCCAGGGTGCTACCCTCCCCCTTCCCCCATCAGGCCTGTGCCACATGCCAGGCCCCCCCCCCCTCCCCGCGGCAGGCTTCTACTGGCTGCAGATGCTGTGGGGAGAAACTGCCCAGAGCACAGGCAACCATGGGATGGCAGGCAGCGCGGGCATAGAAATGGGAGAGGCAGGCCACCCGCCCAGCGCCTCTAGAGGGGACTGCCTGAAGAGGATACAAACTCTGCTTGATTGTGGTGCCCACCCCTTCCTCCGCAAACTGCATCAGATACCCAGAAGCTTAGCATGTAAGGTAGAAAGAATGTCTAGAATGTGTATGTATGCCATGTATGGGAGACAAAGAACCTAGGAATGTGTATAAGGCAAAAACCCCGTCACTGGAGAGGACTCTGCTGAGCTAGCCCTGGTGCAAATAAACAGTCCTCTTCTGAACCTCCGATGCATTTGGTTTGTTGCTTCCCACCGGCCTGCTTTCTGCCATAACTGGGGTGTTTTTACCTGTCAACTCCTCATTCCACCTCTACCCTCTTTTAAAATTTTTTTCAGAAAAGCAATAAAGAAAGGTCT